CTTTGGGTGGACTCAAACCTCCAGCTTTTTAGTTAACAACCAAATGCATTAACTATTTGCACCACTCAGGGACTCAATGGAATCCTAGAAATGGAGTCTATAAGGAGAATGTGAGGAGTAACAGTTGAGGGAGCCCCCTAGAATTATTGACATCTTACCTACCTCTGAAGAACTAGTAGGTTTTATTTTTAGGCTTTAGTGATTCATATATAGGGCTGGATTTTTGCCTTTTTAATCTTGCTTAGTAGAACATCTCTTCTGTGAAATCCAGGCTGACTTCTTCAGGTCTTGTCAAGGTCAGCTCAGCAACGTTCTGACCCAACTCAGGCCCACTACAACCCAGATCAAACCCTACCACTTCTGCCCAACTCTGGCTCTATCCACAATTGAATTAGCATTTCTCTCCTTCCAGAAAGCTATATGGAATCTGGTAATGACATTTTTCATGTTTATGAGGAGACAGTGATGGGAAAATCGTTCATTCAGAGCTAAGAAGTTAGCTAGCTTCTCATTTATTATTCACAGGACTCTCTTCTAATAGAAATTCACAAATAGTTTGACTCGTTGTATAAGAGCAAGGATCAGGCTACTGATTTCTTGGTCTCTATTCAAAGTAGGACTTACCTGGAGAACTGAGTCCATAAATGTTTGTTGATACTTTTGTGGAATCAGACAGACTTGACTAAATTAAGGCCCTGTTGTTTACTATATGACTTTGGGGAAATTACCTAATGTCTTTCAGCCTCATGTCTTCATCTACAGAATGATGATAATATTAGAACTCACCTCATGCAATTGTTAGCACAGTTTGATGAGCTATTGTGCCTAGAGGGCTCAGCACAAAGCCTGAATTTTAGTAGTTGTCTAGTGGAGGATGACTGACAGACAGCATTTTAAATAGGTGTATGGCCTTACTAGAGTTCATTTCCACTTTCCCCCTGTGTGACCACATCCTGAGTAACTCATATAATTGATGGCTGTAAACTGAAAAAAAGAAAGAAAGAAAGAAATCAAACTTGATTGGTTGAGGATGGACTTTGAAGATATCTTTGTTTCTCCTTTAAAGTATTTTCCTTAATGTTGGTAAGATAAACGCTAAAGGAAGGAAAGTGTAAACAAAGAGAAGTGGGAAAAGAAAGGAAGAACGGAGAAAGCTGAAAGAAGTTGTTGGGTTTTTTTCTTTCTTTTCTGCCAGTATCTCACCCATGTCTGATTCCTGCCAGCTCCTAACTTAGACTCCTGAGGGCCTCAGAGGAGAGTGGAACCACAGCCAACATCTTCCAACTAAATCGAACTGGAGCTTTTATGAAGAGACCAGCCTTCTTTTAAACCAAATTATTTTTAAGCTTATTATATTTACAGTCCCTCCAAAGGTTTATAAAATCTTGGATGATATTTCTAAAGAGTTATGTCAAAGTATGGCTTTGTTATTTTCAAGTAAATCTCACAAAAATAGAACTGAAATGTATTTAGAATTATGTTTATATTTAATTTCTTTCTGTTGTTGTTAAGTCCCTTCGAGCTGGTTCTGACTCATAGCGACCATGCACAATGGAACGAGGCTGCTCAGTTCTGCCCCATCCACATGTTGGGTTGCCCATGGGAACATTAGGATCCATAGGGTTTTCAATGTTGACTTTTGAAATTAGATTTCCAGTATGTTGCAGTTCATTGTTGAGGCAGAGCTTTATGAGGGCAGGTCTGATTCTACAAGATGTCTTTGTTGTTATTGTTAAGCACCATCCAGTCAGTTCTGACTCATAGCAACCCTGTATAGAGTTTCTGAAGAGTGGCTGGTGGGTTTGAACTGCCAACCTTCAGTTAACAGTCCAGTGCTAATCTTACAGCACCATACCAGGATTCTGCATGGTGCTTTTAATACACTGGAAACTGGCATGTTCTTGTTCTAGATTGTTTTAAGTCCAGCTCAAGTCAGTGGAAATTGCAAGGAGGAGAAGTTCAGCCCTATGTAGGACTGAACTTTCCAACAGAACAAGATGCCGTGTGGGTTGTTGAGTGGCTCCACCACCAGAAGTATTCAGGTTCAGAATGGGTAGCCATTGCCAGAGATTACAGAGAGGACCTGAGGGCTTCCCCTTTGCTCCCATGTCATGCACCTGCCAACAGGCCAAGGTGCAGATAAGTCTATCTTCCTGATAGAAATTTTCACTCTTCAAAGACTGAAGAGTGGCCTCTTTGCTTGTACTCTCGCCTTGCACACTCCTCCTTCATTAGCTCCCTAAGCCTGTTGAGCCTAGTGAAACCTTTCTAGACTTGGCCACCACTTGACTTCCTAATATGTGAGGTCCTAGTGTTCTCTACTTCTAGTTTTCTGGAATTTTGAGAATGATTCTGTGTGCTGTCTTCCCAATTTTCTTCATAATTCTGCAGACTTTAGCCTTTTAGGTTTGCCCCCCCCCCAATTCCTAATATGTAGATTGTTTTTCATACTGAAGCCTGTTTACTGATCTTATAAATATTCTAGTCCTTTTCTAGATTGTCTCCAACTTTATTTATGTCATTTGGAAGTGGGACTGCCTGAACTTCATGCATCTTTCTCAGCTTCCAACTAACCTGGTTCTGTGCATATTGGCTTTGTAGAGGGCCTTGTACCATTGACTCCTTCCTACTATAGCATCCTCTGTGTCAGAATAGAACTTTGCTCCATAAGGTTTTCTATGGATGATTTTCCAAGAACTTCCAACTTTTTGGCTGATGACTGAATGTGTTAACTCTGTGCGTTGCCGAGGAGTTCCTGCCAGTTGCAATTGAGTCAATTTCAATTCATTATGATCTTGTGTGAAGTAGAGTTTTCATTGTCTGGTTTTGTGGGGAGGAGATTGCCGGGCCTTCTGAGGTGCCTCTGGATAGACTTAAATCTCCAGCCTTTTAGTGGTCAAATGTGTTAACATTTTGCCCCACCCAGCGTGGTGTCCAGTTGACCCTTAAACAGCGTGGGAGTCAGGTGTGCCAACCCTCCATGAAGTCAAAACTCCACATATGACTTTTGACTACCCCAAACTTAACTACTAATAGCCTATTGATTGGAAATCTTAACAGTAACAATTGATTAACACATATTTTTAAAGTTATATACAATATTCTGAATCCACATAAAAACTGCATTTCAATATGAGATCTAAAAGATATTTTTCAAGAAGTGCAAGGTTTTCATGCCTATCGGTATAGCAACTTCTGGAATTTCCTTGACTTTATTTTACCATAGTTCTTACACTGGATTCATTTATGTTGAAATGATGGGTACCTGCAGCTGCAGACCTCAATCTATGGTGCCTGTCGAGCAAGTCAGTTTTCACGGCATGGTTTTCCTCTGCTTCTTACGAGCACTTGCAGCAGCATCACTAGTGCATTTCATATGGGTCCCCTGGTGTTATTCATGCACCACAATGAGAACTAAGAATATCCAGATATATAATTGCAACAGGAGGTGCAACGGAATTATTAGAATAGTACACATTGACTACTGTAATTTTATGCAGTTTTGATTCAATACTGCATCTTTGCATTTGTTTACATTTCTCCTGACTGCATCATGTACGATCTGTGTTTGTATGTGTACATTTTAATAAATTTTAACTTTCAAAAATAGAATTATATATTTTGTGGTAATGTTGTTTTCAGGTGCCATCAAGTTAGTTCTGACTCACAGTGATCCTGTAAATAGCAGAATGAAACACTGCCCCGTCCTGTACCATCCTCACAATAGTTGTTAATGTTGAGTACGTTGTTGCTGTCACTGTGTTAATCCATCTTTGTTGTTGTAAAGTGTTGTTGAGTTCAAGTCAGTTTCAACCCATAGTAACCCTGTATAGGGTTCCCAAGGAGCAGCTGGTGAACTTGAACTGCTGACCTTGTGGTTCAAACTGAC